CCACATAGCCCCCAGAGCGAAAGTCCTGGTCACCTCTAGCAGAGATGATCCCCCATGAAGGGGAAAAACCAGGACCTTGCTTCCCAAATAGCCCCCATAGAGCGAAAATCCTGGCCACCTCTAGCAGAGATGTGTCTCCCATAAAGGGGAGAAACCAGGACCTTGCCCACCCAATAGCCCCCAGAGCGACAACCCTGGCCACCTCTAGCAGAGATGTATCCCCCATGAAGGGGGAAGAAACCAGGACCCTGCCCCAATAGCCCACAGAGCGAAAATCCTGGCCACCTCTAGCAGAGATGTATCCCCTATGAAGAGGAGAAACCAGGACCTTGCTTCCAAATTAGCCCCCAGAGCGAAAGTCCTGGCCACCTCTAGCAGAGATGTATCCCCCATGAAGGGGAAAACCAGGACCTTGCTTCCAAATAGCCCCTAGAGCGAAATCCTGGCCACCTCTAGCAGAGATGTGTCCCCCATGAAGGGGAGAAACCAGGACCTTGCCACCCAAATAGCCCCCAGAGCGACAACCCTGGCCACCTCTAGCAGAGATGTACCCCATGAAGGGGAGAAACCAGGACCTTGCTTCCCAATTAGCCCCCAGAGCGAAATCCTGGCCACCTCTAGCAGAGATGTATCCCCTATGAAGAGGAGAAACCAGGACCTTGCTTCCAAATTAGCCCCCAGAGCGATAATCCTGGCCACCTCTAGCAGAGATGTGTCCCCCATGAAGGGGAGAAACTAGGACCCTGCCACCCAAATAACCCCCAGAGCGAAAATCCTGGCCACCTCTAGCAGAGATGTATCCCCCATGAAGGGGAGAAACCAGGACCCTGCCACCCAAATAGCCCCCAGAGCGAAAATCCTGGCCACCTCTAGCAGAGATGTATCCCCCATGAAGGGGAGAAACCAGGACCTTGCTTCCCAATTATCCCCAGAGCGAAAGTCCTGGTCACCTTACAGAGAGATGTGTCCCCCATGAAGGGGAGAACCAGGACTTTGCCACCCAAATAGCCCCCAGAGCGAAAGTCCTGGCCACCTCTAGCAGAGATGTATCCCCATGAAGGGGAGAAACCAGGACTTTGCCACCAAAATAGCCCCCAGAGCCAACAAGCAAGTGAAAAGGTGAAAAAAGCGAAAATAAAAGGGTTGACCACCTCTAGCAGAGATGTATCCCCCATGAAGGGGAGAAGCCAACAAGAAAGCAAAAGTCACATAAAAGCGAAAATCCTGGCCACCTCTAGCAGAGATGTATCCCCATGAAGGGGAGAAACCAGGACCTTGCTTCCCAATTATCCCCCAGAGCGAAAGTCCTGGCCACCTCTAGCAGAGATGTGTCCCCCATGAAGGGGAGAAACCAGGACTTTGCCACCCAAATAGCCCCCAGAGCGAAAGTCCTGGCCACCTCTAGCAGAGATGTATCCCCCATGAAGGGGAGAAACCCGGACCTTGCTTCCCAATTATCCCCCAGAGCGAAGATCCTGGCCATCTCTAGCAGAGATGTATCCCCCATGAAGGGGAGAAACCAGGACCTTGCCACCAAAATAGCCCCCAGAGCCAACAAGAAAGTGAAAAGGTGAAAAGCGAAAATAAAAGGGTTGACCACCTCTATCAGAGATGAAGCCCCATGAAGGGGAGAAGCCAACAAGAAAGCAAAAGTCACATAAAAGCGAAAATCCTGGCCACCTCTAGCAGAGATGTATCCCCCATGAAGGGAGAAACCCGGACCTTGCTTCCCAATTATCCCCCAGAGCGAAAATCCTGGCCACCTCTAGCAGAGATGTATCCCCCATGAAGGGGAGAAACCGGACCTTGCCACCCAAATAGCCCCCAGAGCCAACAAGAAAGTAAAAATGTGAAAAAAGCGAAAATAAAAAGGGTTGACCACCTCTATCAGAGATGAAGCCCCCATGAAGGGGAGAAGCCAACAAGAAAGCAAAAAGTGACAAAAAAGCGAAAATATAAGTAGAAGTTGACCACCTCTAGCAGAGATTGAAGCCCCCATGAAGGGGAGCAGCCAACAAGAAAGCAAAGTCACACAAAAGCGAAAATATAAGCAGACAGTTGACCACCTCTAGCCGAGATGAAGCCCCCATGAAGGGGAGGAGCCAACATCCCCATGAAGGGAAGACAATCAGTAGGACCCCAGACCCACAAAAAAAGGAGAAAAGAAAGTGAGGAACAGAAGGAAAGACACTCTGGTACTATTAGCAATAGTTTTGTTCCCCATGAAGGGAAGACAACCAGTATCACCCTCAGACCCACAAGAAAGCGAAAAAGTGAGAATAGGAAGACACACTGGTACTATTAGCAATCGTTTGTTCCCCATGAAGGGAAGACATACCAGTATCACCCCAGACCCACAAAAAAAGCGAAAAAAAAAGTGAGAACAGGAAGACACACTGGTAACCATTATCAACAGTTTGTTCCCATGAAGGGAAGACAACCCAGTATCACCCCAGACCCACAAAAAAGCGAAAAAGTGAGAATAGGAAAGACACACTGGTACCATTATCAACAGTTTGTTCCCCATGAAGGGAAGACAACCAGCATGACCCCCAAACCCACAAACAGCGAAAACAAGTGAGAACAGAAGGAAAGAACACTTGGTACTATTAGCAATAGTTTGTTCCCCATGAAGGGGAAGACAACCAGTATAACTCCAGACCCACAAAAAAGCGAAAAAGTGAGAACAGGAAGACACACTGGTACCATTATCAACAGTTTGTTCCCCATGAAGGGAAGACAACCAGCATGACCCCCAAACCCACAAAAAGTGAAAGAAAAGTAAAAAAAAATGGCACCATTATCAATGGATGAGAGTGGGCAGGGAGAAAGAAAAAACTTGTGTGAGCGCATTTTTGCTTATATAAGCAGTCCCACTGTCATGCTGCCTCCCCCAAGATTGATTTCCCCAGCCTTCATATGACTCGTCTGTTTGACTAGAACTTGTTCTTGAAGCCATTGAACCATATGAACATGCTGGACATGTCTGCTTGGTCCATAAAAATCAAGTTCCAAAGTTGAGTTGAGTCCACTGCCCCTATCTTGCTGCCTCCCCTCAAGATTGATTTCTTTGGCCCTCATATCGCTTGCTGGGGTTCCTGCAGCACTTGTTCCCAAGGCTATTGAGCCCTCTGAACGAGCTGGCAATGCTCGATTGGTCCAAAAAATCAGGTTCCAAAGTTGACCACCCCTGTCATGCTGCCTCACCAAAGATCGATTTTTCAGCCTTCATATAGCTTGCTTGTCTTTAGGTAGGACCTCGTTCCAGAGGTTATTGGACCATACAAAACACGTTGGTGATGCCAGATTTGCTCTAAAAAATATGTTCCAAGTTGACCACCACCCCTATCATGCTCCCCACCAAAGATCGATTTTTTCAGCCTTCACTATGGCTTGCTGGCTGTAGCTAGGACTCATTCTAGAGGTTATTTGACCATCTGAACACGTTGGTCGAGCCGGATTTCGCTGTAAAAATCATGTTCCAAAGTTGTCCACCCATGCCATGCTCCCCCACCCAAAGATCGATTTTTCAGCCTTCATATGACTTGCTTGGCTTTAGGTAGGACTCATTCTAGAGGTTATTTGACCATACAAACACGTTGGTCGTGCCAGATTTCGCTCTAAAAATCATGTTCCAAAGTTGTCCACCCATGCCATGCTCCCCCACCCAAAGATCGATTTTTTCAGCCTTCATATGACTTGCTTGGCTTTAGGTAGGACTCATTCTAGAGGTTATTGGACCATACAAACACGTTGGTCGTGCCAGATTTCGCTCTAAAATCATGTTCCAAAGTTGGCTGCCCCTGTCATCCCCCCCCCACCCAAAGATCGATTTTTTCAGCCTTCATATGGCTTGCTTGGCTTTAGGTAGGACTCATTCTAGAGGTTATTTGACCATCTGAACACGTTAGTCGAGCCGGATTTCGCTCTAAAAATCATGTTCCAAAGTTGGCCACCCAAGTCATGCTGCCCCACCCAAAGATCGATTTTTCTAGACTTCATATGACTAGCCTGTCCTTCAAAAGCATTTTTCCTGGGGGCTATTGAGCCCTCTGAACACGATGGTAAAGCCAGAATTGCCTGGAAAAATCGTGTTCCTGAGATATACAAGGTCCTCCTCCTCCTCCTGACCTCATGTATGTCACTATCCCGGTATTCCACCTCAATACCGATACTGCAAACATTGCTCCTAAGGTATTTGAGGCCTGTGAATCGATTGGGAATGGTCCCAGACCTTCCAGAGGTCAGCATTATCATGATATGGGAGGTTGGCTCAAATATCAGTATTTTGGACATATCTCCACGATCCAACCGCCGTTTTTCTTAATTGTTGGCTCATATCCATCCTATTGATACCCTCTATGATATGTACCAGCCCGCCAAAAGATATTTTTTCACAAGTTTGAAACCTATTTCTATTTTGACCCTATAAGTGTGGATACAAAAGCACGATGCCATAGTATTCATAACAAATCCTGCATTTTACAGGATTCACTGTATCGGAAGGGGGGCGGAGAGTCGACGGAATGCCCCAAAAGCACGTCGTACAATGAAGTTGATCAAGGGAAAGCGCATCTTTGCAGCTGACCTCATGGACTCACAGCCATTCGACACTGATGGAAATCTGAGAAGGAAGACAGATAGGCAAAAGCGTCGGGAGATTCGCAAAAAGATGACCATGACCAAGAAAAACCAGAGGATCCCCCCTCCCCCACGTCCTCACCAAACCTAGGCCATTTCCTATGGACATAGGAGAATTAGCGGACAGAGATGAGGAAATGGATGTTGATTAGCTCACAATTTACATTGTATGTACGATGCCTGCCAACCAAGTGGACATAACAGCGCTTTGATCATGCAGGCATATTCTGATATCGAGTTAAGACTTGATTGCAAACTTGGTGGTTTTAGCCAAGTATCGCATCAACCAGTCCTGGTGACTGCGAGCACATCAACCATCAGCTCCAGTGAGATGAGAGGCAGGGAGCACTGGACACTGAAATATGAACACCCTTCCTTATAGCAGGGAATCACTGGGCAGAACATTCACTCCTCCTGTGTGTCGTCTCAATATGCAGTGCTAATATTAATACATGTTACTCGCTGGTCAAACAAATGTCTTTTCAAGTATGTATAGATTGCTAAGATCACTGGTACATGTTTCTATAGGAATATTTCGCAATCCAGCATCATTATAGCTTGATCACAAAGGCTATTCCGACATATGAGACGAGCAATCTTACATTGCCAAATGGGTCCACTGGTCATGTCAACTGGGGCAAAAAATCTACACTTGACCACGATGGAATATTCAGATATTGCTTGAATATCAGACCATGCCATCGTAGGCAGGTAAGATGTGTCTGCCCAGGCGACCTCATATATGTGCAAAGAAGGTTTTATACTGTTGGATAGACTGGGTCGGACAATCTTCACTATATACAGAGAGGTGTCAGCTGCGCAGACCACCTTATCTAACTGTGATGGCACATTCTGATATTCATAGCAATCTCAGAGTATGCCATAACAGTCAGATGATGCTTTCTGTGCAGTCAACACCTTTCTTCATCGAGGAAGGATTGTCCAGCCAACTCAACCCCACAGTAGAAAATCAAGCATCATTACAGCTCGAGCGTGAAGGATTTCCTGTCATCAGATATCAGATCACCACCTGCAAGGATAAGTACTTCTGTATGGCTATTGAGCCCCAGGTGAAGCGCACTAGAGTCGTTATTAATTGTAATTAGTCAACTGGGTGGTAAACTCTTTTCTGGGTGGGGTTTGACAAGAGAGAGAGCAGAATATGGTTGTTCAAAAAAATCAAGTTTACCGGTCAGCAGAAGAGTTGCTTCCCATTCTTTGAGTTAGCATTCCCTAGCTACAGCTTTTTCAGCCCACCAGATAGCTCCTTGACTCATATCGAGTGTCGAATGTCAAACTAACCTAAAGCGCCCATTTGCTGAGCTGGTGAACTTTTGTCTATTGCTTGGCACTAGTATACAGTGATTGATGAAGAGGATTGGCCGGTCAAGTCTTCATTGAGATGATACATCTAACTAGAAGTAATGCAGGATACATCTCACAGTGGAAACTCTTTTGTGGATAGCTCTTCCTCTCTGTCTCGCCATACTTCTGGCAATACCCTTGGAGATATAATCTCACCAATCGTTCTGGTTTTGCCTGATTTATGTATCAACCTGAGATGTAATTCAAAACCTTTCTATACGGAGCACCCTTTGGTGAGGCGGACTGATGATACTGCAGTGCACTCCCCTCAATCTCACTGATAATTCTGAAATTGCCTGGGACACCAATAACAAAAGCCTTCAAAGCGAAATTTATTAGTCTTATTAGGGTCTACTATTATTATTATCATCAACAAAGATGCAAACAATAAAGCCTCCAGAACGACAACATCAAAAGCCCCCAGGAGTGAAATATGCTGGCACCATTATGAATGGTCATACCCTCATAGAAGAATGACACCAACATAAGCTCTCAGATTTACAAGTAAAGTAAAGTAAAAAAGTAAAAAAAAAAAGGCTGAGAACCAAAATTTGTTGGCACCATAATCAATGGTAGGACCCTCATGGAAGGGTGACACCAACATAAGTCCCCAGGTCCATAAGTAAAGTAAAAAGTAAAAAAAGCCCAGAAGCGAAATATGCTGGCACCATAATCAATGGTGGTACTCCCATAGAAGGGTGAGACCAACAAAAGATTCCAGGCCCAGAAGTGAAGTAAAGCAACAAGTAAAAAACCCTCAGAAGCGAAAAATGTTGGTACCATAAACAACGGTAG